CCGAGTCCCTTTTTCCGATTATCTTACGCGTAATTTTAAACTTTACTTTTTCACCGCCACACTTTCGTTCCGGACGGATGGAAACACGTTTCCGCGAAAGCGAGATTGGCTCGCCATCGATCGCGGACGGAGCGACGACGGCGACAACAACGGCGTGGACGGGAATATTACGTTCCGTGTGGAGCAACATCGAACGCCCACGATTAACGACCCGCGCCGATGATAACCCCACGGGCCCACGCTCTCGCCACCCCGACGGGGTGTTGTCCCGGCGCGTTCGCTTTTACGAGGCCATTTTCGGCGCGCGCGCGCGCGCGCGCGGCCACTCGAGGACTCGTCAACGATCACGCGAGACGCGAGCGAGCACGAGATGAGGCTGCGGGAATTGATATGAGGGCGTGAAAAACGACACTGCGAGCGTCGCCAATGTCGCCACGTTAAACTGACCGGCAGATCGCTCGCTTCGAGTCGAATTTACGAAGGCGACGAAGGTCCCTCGCGGGCCCGTCGCCGTTCGTGAGCGTCCAAACAGACTTTTTTATCTTATCAATAGCCTGATTTAAGACTTGACAGATTTAATATTGAGCGTTTCAAGGAATCGTAAAGAAAGTAATTGAAACTCCTCTGGTGAAGCTCAGTCCCGCCCCCTTCTCGAAATTGGGGGTCTCTTTTTTACATAATTAAATAGAAAAGCTCTCTACGTCTCTCTTACATTTTCTTAAGCTAGGAATTTCCTTAAAATCTGAATATAATCATCGGCGGTGTTATATTCGCGGATTATATATCCCCAGGGCATAATCGAACGCGACGAGGGTTCCTCCCCCTTCCCCGCCGTACCACGTAATAGCGGTAGCATGTCCAACGGTTCCGACATTTCGCGTCCGGCGGCCATTGTGCGCTAAACTCCGAAATAAAGGGGAGATACGCCGCGGCGGCCCAGGAATTACGCATCCGCTGAAAGGCAGGCGCAAATTACAGAACGGCGGTAATGGCCGGGGTGCATGAGGCGCCTTATCGCCGACAATTTCTGCGCGCGCGGCCCGCCGCCACGCCGCGCTGGGAGGAGGAAAATCTCTTGCGCGCGCGAAATTATTCCACGGAAGATTATACGGGGATCGCTGGCCCGATCTTACACGCTTCGTTGGCGATGCGTGAACGTTTTGATGCTGAATCGAATTCTCTAGAATTGCATTAAAAATGTGTTTTAGATTTAAATTAAAAAAAAAAATCGCCGAGCTATTTAGATCGCAGATTGAATATCTTATTAAAAATAGATTTGAAATGAGTTAATAATGTTTACATTATGAATACGAGTAACGGTGGTAGAAGTTACACTGTAGTTAAATCTATAGTATCAAATTTAAACTTATTTAAGTCGCCACTGTTCCTACTTAATAACTACTTAGTTATTTTTAATTAAAACAATGAAGTTAAATAATTTAAAATACTTCAAATTCATAAATTAAATATTCAAATTTAACCCAAATTTGAGTTAAATTCCATTGTTTTATTTAAAAATAACTATATATTAAGTAGGAGCAGTGGCGACTTAAATAAGATTAAATTTGACACTGTAGATTTAACAGTGTAGTCTGTCGCTTTAGTATAATTAAAAAAAAAATGTGCACCAATACTGCAGAAATATAAAAATGTACGTGAATATGTGTTCACGATTAATTTTAATTCAATTTTAGAACTTTTGGTGATGTGCAGAGACTTTAAAAAAAATTGCGTCCTTTAAAAAGAAATTATTGCTCGAAATGAATCCGGTGACACCCGAGTTGTTTACCGGATGGCAGATTTAGATAGTCCTCTCTCACCTGGCCGTGCTTGTCCATGTCGTTGTTCGTCAGCTTCACTTTCTCGAAGGAGACAACCTGCTTCCGCAATTGTTCGCCGGTGAAGGGTGAATCGGGATGCACGTAAAGTCGCGCGGGTGCCGGCGGATCCGCTTTGCCGGCCTCCAGCCAGCAGCTACGGTGATAGGCGTATCGGTACCTCTTGTTGTCGACCGGCACGATGTCCATCAGGACCGCGTATCGGCTGTCCGCCTTCAGCCCGTTGAATGAGACACGACACGTCGGAAACATCCGCCTGCGCAAACATCAAACGTATCCTCGGTAAAAAAAAAAAAAAAATAGAGATGTATAGAATATTCTAAACTTAAATATCACTTCTAAATAATTTCCAACTACTAATTGCCGTTCAAATTAATAAAATGTCAATTCTCGCAGGTATAACGAAAATCATGTAAATTATACAGCTATATAATT